TCATCATCATCAATGGAGTCTCCATTCGAGTGTGCCATAATAGGAATTCAGCGAATCGGATGAACACCAATAACACGAAGAGAAAGGAAATATAAAGAATATTTCAAAACTTCCTCGACAGCTCGAAATGTTGAAATTTCTTTACTTCGTATCAAGTAAATCACGAAGAGCATGCCAAAAAGAGTAACCTCTAATACGAGTTAGAGCCTACTGACCACAGCACGACGTTTAGTGCGGGAATTTTTCATGTGAGTTTTCGTGACTATTTCCAACGATTGATCTAATTGTATACTCCTTAAAAAATTTTGGTATTTCCGCTAGTGCAAAAGTGTTGAAATTTAGTCTGACAGCTACAACGACCGATTTCATGAAAAAATTTTTTGGTCGAAAACATTGGGAAGCAAATCTCGAATTTTAATTTCCTCTTCTGTTTGCATTCGGCGTCATTTCAGTAATCACGATAGACTTTGAAAACATCAAAATTACTCTTTTTTCCACACCACGAATGATTCTCGCACGTTTATCAAATTCGCCACTTCAAAACAAAACTCACTACTATGGATAAGAATAGTATCAGCAGAGACGTGCTTGTTGTTGTTGTAATCAACTTTACATTGTCATCGTCGTAGATTTACAAGCTGTGGCGCAAACAAACAAGTGGGATATTTTGGATATCTGAAATTGGCTAAAATCAATAACATTGCAGTTTCACAATCCGTTTTACGTGAAGTGGCGTTAAACTCTGTGAAAAACGCGATATTCGCGGTGATATGCAGTAGTCGTGAAATATGTTTTCACTAGTATTTTTCACATCACTAGGGCGGTGAAACTTCATTTTCCCCCAGAAAAAGACTTAAAGTGTTGTAGTTTTGTGATGATAAAATTATTGTTCCTCTGTTCTTGCAACGTGCATTTGTAAGTATAGATTTAGCACTGGTGACAGCCAAAGCTCTAATACGACTTGAAAGCAGCCACTAGTATTCCGTAAAACCGTCACATCTACACGTACGACAATGAAATCACCGAGTGATTTCTCTACCGTATATGAATTCATAGTAAACGGCTCCAACCCGACTTCATTTAGCATGCGCTCCCATCTAAAACTTCAATTTCGCCAGTCTAACGCCAAGAAACTCCCATAGAAATTTTTCTTTTAAGGAACTTTCAATTTCGCGAGTATCAACCCAAACCTACTTGTCAATGTGAGTCTTGACTTTCGAACAATATTATGGAATCTGGCAAAAAAATATCTTAGCCGGGCATCGAACCGGGGACCTTCCAGATGGGAAAGCGTACGTTTCCCTACGTATCTATCGTCCGCTTGAAGATATGCCATTTGCAGGTGGTCAGTTTGAAGTGCATTCTGGGAGTAACCGACCGAGCCATAATATGGGGCGTATACCATCGCAGAGTTGTTATAACCTGACACAGCGTCACTCGCCACGAAATTACATTTCCCATACGACAGTTAGATTTTTCTATAAATTCTAATTTATGAAACAGTTACACTAAAAGTGAATAATATCTTTAGGTTGAGCAGAGTTCCAGCAGACCAAAATGATTCCTTCAAACTCGCCCTATGAGAATCCCGGCCGATTCACCTTCGACAAAAGATGATCCTGTCGTGGTCGCAGGAGTAGGAGGGGAATTTGCTGTTGGCCCTGCTGATGGACTCCTCGGGCGGGTGGTCGTAGATCTCAACAGTGGAATTTCTAGTGTGTCTTCACCAACACCATTGAGCAAAACTGTCGTGTTCATGTCGGGAGGCTCCGCAGGGGAATGCGGCACCCGGGCGTCTTGGTACAATTCTTCCGAACGAATTCCATGTAGATCTGCGAGGTCTTGGCGTTCGTAACTCTTCGTCTCAAGTCGCTTTCCGTCGATCATACACTCCAACGGAATTGCAATAAATGGCAAATTTTCATAGACGAACTTGACAGTCTCCGAGACCTCATCGCCGCCGCCACCACCACCGTTATCATCGCGAGATTCTTTTTCTTCACTACCGAGATGAGATCCACCCTAAATGATGACGAGCTCGACACTGATAGGGAAAGATGGAAGTCCACAACTCTACCATGGCTGCCTCCTTCTTCCTCTGTTCCATGAACTTAGAGGTATGCCCGAGATGCTCAACATACTTGACATGCTTCCCTCGAGCATTCGCTATAGCCCTGATGGATGATGAGAATGGTGAAGGGCTTAGGTGATGGGCCTGGATGGTTGGCCTCACGCGACGGTATCCCACAAGGGCTCGTTCTTCTCGAATACGACCATGGCAACGAGTTCACTGTCCTCTTTCCAGCGTATCTTAGGTGAGCTCTCGGTAGACGCAGAAACGTTCAAGGTGCTTTCGGGCTTCTCCTCCTCTCCGTCGTCTTCGAAGTCCTCCGACCCGGGTAGGGCCATCAGCCTGAAAAACACCCCC